TCATTGCAATTGCAATTTGCATTTCCCTTGTGATTAGTGCTTTTGAGCATTTTTCCTATAACTGTTAATTATTTGCATGTCTTTCTGAGAAATGTCTACTAAGGAGTTTTGCCACTTGTTATTCTAGTTATTACTTTTTCTATTAAGTGTTTAATATATTCTTGATATTACCCCTTGTCAGGTGCATTGTTTGCAAATATTTTCTCCCATTTTTTCAGGTTGTCTTTTCACTCTTTGTTTTCTTTGCTGAGCAAAAACTTTCTGTTTGGTGTAATCCCATGTGTCTGTTTTTGCTTTTGCTGTCTGTAAGTCTTATTTAAAAAATTATTGCCTACCCCACTATTGTCATTTCCCCTATATTTTCTTCTAGTAGTTTTATAGTTTCATGTTTTATATTTAAGCCTTCAATCCATTTTGAGTTAATGGTAGTATACAGTGAGAGGTAGGGGTCTAGTTTTATTCTTCTGCATGTGTATATCCAATTTTCTCAGCACCGTATATTGAAGAGACTGCCTTTTCCCCAGTGTGTGTTATTGGCATCTTTTTTGAAAATCAGCTGTAGGAGCATGAATTTACTTTTGGATTCTCTATTCTGTCTTACTGTTCTATGTGTATGTTTTTATGTGTATGTTTTTAATGTGTTATGTGTATGTGTATGTTTTTATGCCAGTATCATGCTGTTTTGGTTACTGTAGCTTGTGCATATAGTGTGATTCCTCTAGCTTCATTTTTTGTACAGGATTCCTTTGGTTACTTGGGGTCTTTTCTGGTTCTATATGAATTTTAGGATTTTATTTCTCTGAATTTTGATAGAATTACATTGAATCTGTAGATTGCCTTGGGTAGTATGGCCTTTTTATCAATATTAATTCCTCCAATCTATGAATATGGGATATCTTTTCATTTATTTGTGTCTTCTTCAATTTCTTTCATTAATGTTTTATAGTTTTCAGCATACAAATCTTTTATGCCTTGGTTAAGGTTATTCCTACATATTTAATTTTTTGTAGTTATTATAAATAGAATTATTTTATTCTGTTACCATATAGAAATGCTACTGATTTTTGTAGCTTGATGTTGTATCCTGAATTTTTACTGAATTTATTAGCTCTACCAGTTTTTTGGTAGAATTTTTAGGGTTTTCTATCTATAAGATCACGTCATCTACAAACAGGGACAATTTGACTCCCTCATTTCTAATTAATTTGCCTTTAATATGTTTCTCTTGCCTAATTGCTCTGTCTAGAATTTCCAGTACTGTGTTGAATAGGAATGGTGAAAGTATGCATCCATATCTTGTTTCTGATTTTAGAGAAAAAGCTCTTAGCTTTTTTCTTGTTCAGCATAATGTTATCTGTGAATTTGTCATGTGTGTTCTTTATTGTGTTGAGGTACATACCTTCTCTACTAAATTGTTGAGAGTTTTATTACAAAAGAATGTTAAATTTTGTCAAATGCTTTTTCTGCATTTATTTAAGTGATCATATGGCTTTTGTCTTTTTGTTAATATGATGTATCACATGTATTAATTTGCATATGTTGTACTATCTTCTCATTCCTGGGATGAATCCCATTTGACCACAGTAAATGATGTTTCTAATGTGCTGTTGAATTAGGTTTGTTAGCTTCTTGTTGAGAATTATTCCATCTATATTCATCAATTATATTCTTATTTTTCCCCTCTGTTTACTTGTCTGGTTTTGAAGTTGCTGGCCTAGCGAATGCTGGCCTAGCAAAATGAATTTGGAAGTATTTCCTCCTCTTCCATAATTGAGAAGAATTGATATTAGTTCTTTAAATGTTTGGTAGAATTCAGCGGTGAAGTTATGAGGTCCTTCACTTTTCTTTTCTTTTTTTGATGGAAGATTTTTATTACTGATTAAATTTCTTTACTGCTACTAGTCTGTTCAGATGTTCTCTTTCTTCATAATTTAACCTTGGTTGGTTTGTATGTATCCAAAATTTATCCATTTCTTCTACGTTCTCAAAGTTGTTCATAGTAGTCTCTTATGATCCTCTGTATTATGTCTCCTGTTTCATCTCCAATTTTATTAGTTTGGATCTTTTTTTACTTTTTTCTTATTTAGTCTAGCTAAAGATTTATTGATTTTGTTTACTACTTCAAAAACCATATCTTCATTTTATTGAATTTTTTAGTCACTATTTTATTTTTTTCTCTGAACTTTATTCTTTCCTTCCTTTTAGCAATTTTGCATTCAGTTTATTCTTGTTTTTCTAGTTCCTTTAGGTGCATGGTTAGTTTATTATTATTATTATTATTATACTTTAAGCTCTGGGATACATGTGCAGAACGTGCAGGTTTGATATGTAAGTATACACGTGTTATGGTGGTTTGCAGCACCCATCAACCCGTCATCTACATTAGGTATTTCTCCTAATGTTATCCTTCCCCTAGCCCCCCACACCCTGACAGACCCCGGTGTGTGATGTTCCCCTCCCTGTGTCCATGTGTTCTTATTGTTTAACTCCCACTTATGAGTGAGGTCATAGTCTTTGGAAGTAATCTTCTGAGATATACGCTAATCATCTAATGGTGATTCTCTACGTGTGACTTGATGGTTTTCAATTGCAACTTTTAGAATTCTTTGTCTTTGACTTTTGACAGTTTGATTATGATGTGCCTTGGAGAGGATTTACTTGAGTTGAATCTTATTGGGAACTTTTAAGCTTCTTGAATTGGGATGTTCATGTCTCTCCCAAGACTTAGGAAGTTTTCAGCTATTATTTTGTTAAATAAGTTTTTTGAGCCTTTCTCCATTTCTAACTCCTGTAACACAAATATTTGTTTGCTTAATGGTATTTCATAAATCCCAGTATCTTCATTCTTATTCTTCTTTCTTTTTTTTGTTTTTCTCTGACTGGATTGTTTCCAAAGACCCATCTTCAAGTTCAGAAATTCTTTCTTCTGCTTTATCTAGTCTGTTGTTGAAGATCTCAATTATTATTTTTTATTTTATTCATTGAATTCCTCAGCTCTAATATTTCTGTTTGACTTTTCTTTATGATATCTACCTCTTTGTTAAATTTCTCACTCAGATCATTAATTGTTTTTCTGATTTTATTGTCTTGTTTGTCTGTATTCTCCTGTACCTCACTCAGTTATCTTAAGATCATTATTTTGAATTGCTTTTCAGGAATTTCATAAATATTATTTCCTTTGATGTCTGTCACTGGAGATTTATTGTATTCCTTTGCAAATTTCACGTTTCCTTGTTTTTTCATGTTTCTTGTGTTCTGACACTGATATATGTGCATCTAGTGGAACAGTCATTTTTTCTCATTTTATGGAGTAGCTTTTCTAGGAAGAGACTTTTTTTCTATAGATGGGAATTGGTGTTGATTGGGAATGGTGTATTGGTTGGGTGTTGATTGGGAGTAGGGTGTTGACTGGAAATGGTATGTTGGCTTTTGTTCTGGGTGGACTTAGTAGCATGGTCTCCATGCAGATTGTTCAGTTGTAATCTTTGTCTGCAATGTCTGTGATTGTCTCAGTGGCCTGGGCTGCTGTAGTTTGTAACAGCAGTGGCATGATCCAAAACCTCTTTTAACCAAGAGAATTAAATGTATTTACTGATGAATGTTTTATGTATATTATGTTATCCATTAATTAATGAATATAACAACAGACTTTGATTACGTTTTTCTGTTTTTTTTGTTGTTGTTGTTTTTTAAGTATTTCAAACCGGATAGATGTTTTTCTTTGCCTTAAAATATTTCCAAAGAGGAGTTTTGCAAAAATGAACCAATTTAATAATAAATAACTCCCATAATCTAAAATTTAATCCTGGATATCTTGATCTTTGTCCTAGAACAATCTTTTAATTCTAGTTTTCTTATTAGTTGAAAGTCTGGTACATATTGTAAGATAAAATTAATTCTTTCATCTTACAGTCTAGTGGCATTAAGATGAGGCCTAACGTTAAGCATATCATTCACATACCTAACTTGAGAAAAATTTCACTGGAAAGCTTTTTAAACATCAGCAATAACATCTGAAGTAATTACAAAGTTCAAGCATCAATTTAAATGAAAGACTACTTCCTTTATTCACTAGTTGAATATTATAATGTTAAAAATCATTAAAGTACCTGTAAGGTGAATTAATAATGTAGCATTTTACTGATTACCTATATATTCATTGAAGAATTATATTTTCGGCCCAGAGACTTTTACGGAAAGATCATTTCTAAAAACATTGTATGCAAAATTCTGAAAGCTACTGCTTCAAAAAAATTCGCTACTGAAAGGGCAATGAATTCTGAAGGGCCTATAAGTCTTGTTTGAAGCATATATTCTGCTTCTAAAATTACAGTCATAACAAATTCCTCAGACAATGCCACCTAACGAGCCTTCAAATGGTCACTAAAGTCATATTGTGATTTCATCATCTAGTAGATTAAAAATAGACTATCTCTTATTTAGAAGACTGAACATGAATAAATGAAATAAGTTGAAATATGACTTATATTGGCAGCAAGGTAAGATTTTCGCATGAAACAACTTGATAGGTGTTTAAGGGATATGCAATTTTATAATACCATGACAAAACAAACTTCTTTTATCCTTTTAATATAATAGACTCTAGCCAGTGGTGGTGTTGCATTTTGTGCCTTGACTAGTGAGAATAAGACAGATGTAAAAAGGAAGACAACTGCAGGCAGAAATTAAACTATAAAACAGGGAAGAAGAAGAGTGAGAGGTATTGCTTTAAAGCTATGATTGTTGTTGGAACTGTGCTATGTAAATATATACCTGTCACCTTTACTGTGTCTTACATTCCTATCTTAACCAGAAGCTGGGAAAACACCCTTTTATTTACGGCTTGCTGACTGGTGCCACCTTGCTTTTGGTTCTTGACTGGTGTTGAAATTATAATTCAGAAGCTATACTTTTATATTATAAATAATATTTGTCATTTTCTGATTGTGAAAGTAGCATATGCTGAAAATTCAATAAATTAGAAATGGACAATGGCAAAAGAAAATTAAATGCAACCACTAACCCACCACCAAGGGTTTCATCTTGTTGTAATTCATCAACATATACATTTACATGAAATCGTACTTTTAAGAATGTGTTGTTTTGAGTTTACTAAAAATACGTTGTCTCTTTAGAACAGTGACGGAGGCAGTGAAGGAACTTCAGTATAGGAGATGGCATCTCATTTCTTCACTGTTCTCACAAAGGTGACCAGCTGTGTGACAAATCCTCTAGAATCTGGAGCTGAACCCTGAGGGGTGAGTTTTGTTTTTATATTGGGAAGGTTTGTGCATTTGTTAAAATGCTTTTAACTATAAGTAATAATACTTGATTAACTGAAATGTAGACAAAGGCAGCTTACTTTTCTTCACATAAAGAGAAGGCCAGCTATTCACCAGCTATTCATCTTCAGTTGGATGGCTCAGGTTTCTGACTTCTCTTTCAGTCTTCTCCTGATGGTCTTAAAATGGCAGTTGCTGCAAACATCATAAACTTTGATAATCATATCTAAAGGCTGAAAATCATTGGGATGTACAGGAAGGGATGTTTCTGGGATGGGATGGCAAGTTCCTCACCCTGTGGGTCTCTTTTTATTAGAAAATAATATTTTTCTTTTTATTTTTGTTTAATTTCAATAGGTTTTTGGGAAACAGGTCGTGTGTGGTTACATGCATAAGTTCTTTAGTGGTGATTTCTGAGATTTTGGTGGACCCATCAGCTGAGCAGTGTACACTATACCCAATGTGTAGTCTTTTATCCCTCACCCCGCTTTTACCCTTTCACCTGAGTCCCCAAAGTCCATTGTATCATTCTTGTCTTTGCATCCTTGTATCTTAGTTCCCACTTATGAGTGAGAACATACAATGTTTGGTTTTCCATTCCTGAATTACTTCACATAGAGTAATGGTCTTCACTTCCAGGCTGCTGCAAATGCCATTATTTAATTCCTTTTTATGGCTGAGTAGTATTCCATGATATATATTTACCACAATTTCTTTATCCACATGTTGACTGATTGATGGGCATTTGTGCTGGTTCGATATCTTTGGACTTGTGAATTGTGTTGTTATAAACTTGCATGTGCAAGTATCTTTTTCATATAATGACTTCTTTTCCTCTGGGTAGATACGAAGTAGTGGGATTGCTGGATCAATTCGTAGGTCTACTTTTGGTTCTTTAAGGAATCTCCACACTGTTTTCCATAGACGTTGTACTACTTTACATTCCTACCAGCAGTATAGAAGTTTTCCCTGTTCACCACATCCACTCCAACATCTATTATTTTTTGATTTTTTGATTATGGCCATTCTTGCAGGAGTAAGGTGGATCACGTGGTTTTGATTAGCATTTCCCTGATTACTAGTGACATTGAGCATTTTTTAGGAAATAATATTTTTCTTGGAAGATGCTCAAATGATACCTGCTTAAGTTGATCAAAATGGGATCACACGCCTGATCCTAAACCAATAACTGGTTAGGTAAAAAAGAATTACCATAATTGGCTTATCTTACTTTTCTTTCATGCTTTGAGGGTATGAGAGGAGCACACGTCCCACCCCTCAATTGGATTTCATTAAACTAAAGAAAAAAGAGCAAAAGTGAGCCTTATAGAAAACTGATAGTACCTACCACATCTCACCATTTCAGCTTAGCAATTGGGCATCACAATCATGTCAGGATTTCTGTCCCTATCACGTTACCTAATCATAAAGCTCATATTTCAGTTTCCTGGTTGATTTTTCTTGACAAATTAGAAAGATCTTCTGAAACTTATATAAAACAATTATCTGTTTGTTTATGGCTTTACATTTTATAACTGTCCTACTTATTATTTAAGAAAATAAGAATGAATGATTGAAAGACTGAAAGGAACCTCTTATTTCAGAAAAGATTTAAAATATTTTTAAAAATCTATGTGCATTTGTATTAAGTCAGTCATTCTTGCATTGGTATAGAGAAATGCCTGAGACTGTATAATTCATCAAGAAAAGAGGTTTAATTGGCTCATGATTCTGCAGCCTTTACCAGGAGCATGGCGTTGGCATATGCTCAGCTTCCAGGGAGGCCTCAGATGGCTTACAATCATCGTGGAAGGCAAAGGGGGAGCAGGCACATCACATGACAAAAGCAGGAGCACGTGAGAGACACAGCCAGGAAGGAGGGTAGGAGATGCCACTCACTTTTAAATGACCAAATCTCGTGAGAACTCAGAGTGAGAGCTCACTTATGACCAAGGAGATGATCCAAGCTATTTAAGAGGGATTCGCCCCCATGATTCAAATACCTCCTGTGAGGCCCACTTTCAACACTGGGGATTACATGAGATTTGGATGGAGACAAATATCCAAACAATATCAATATTTTATACAATAAAGTTAAAAATTAAAACAACATGCAAAGAAATGTAATAGTTTCAAAGTAAAATACTACTAGACACAAAAATAATGTCAGAACACAAAATGTGTGTTATAGACTCCTATTTTATTTGCTTGGAATATGCCATAAATTTTGCTCTAAATTTATTAGAAATGGATGCCTAGAGGGTTGTCCTATTAGTTACAAGATACACAGTACACATATTTAAATAATTAATAGTTTGATACTGAGATTGGTATGATATCTCCCATGGGTTCTCGCTGAGCCCACACTGTAGACAATGAACTTCATTCTTGAAAACCTGTGTAGAATGACCCTTACTATAAGTCCCTTTCTTAAGACATCTCCTAAAATGGGGGTTACCAAATCCTCCAAATAGGAACCCTTTTGAAAGAGAAACAGTGACACCAACACAACCATAAATTGGGACTGCTGTCAGCACATCGTGACCTACAGCTGCCCTTCTAGGACCAGTGATGACATCACTTTAAAAAAGATTTCCAGTCAGTTTTGCTCTCTTACACCCTACAGTAGCTATTTCAATCCTTTGGTATGCTCTTTTAACTCCCAGGTCTTCATCCACCTTGTCATTTTTGGCAAATAGCCCCATCTCTCACTTCAAGTGTAAAACGAAATTTACTTGGCTGAAGCTCCTTTCGCCTGCTTCCCCATCCTCTGAGCTGTCCTGTTTAAGTTTCCTTGTATCCCTCTCTCCCATCACATGTGAATGAGCCTTCAACTACTGCCATCCTGTTAAAGAAACTTGACTGTGAAGGGAAGAACAGAGTTTTCTCTGTTTGTCATCTTCATTTCTTCACTTCCGTTTCTCCACTCTGTCTACTTTCTTGTGGCTTTTGCCTCCAACCTTGCACAGAAAAGACAGGCAGAACCCACCTATCTCTGCTCAGGGGCCACTTTTCAGCCCTTAATACTCATGGCCCCTCTCTATCTTGTTGCATTCTTGGCCACATCCTCCTTAAAATCTATCCTTTCTCTTCTTTTGTGATACCATACCCTCTGCCTTCCCTCTCTCTTCTCTGATGTTTTCTTTCGATTTTCTCCCTTGGATTGTCTTCTGCCCCTCACTTACTTATGTGTGGTGTTCAGCACACATAAGGGATAGTACAGCCTGTGGTTAAAGCTTGGCCTCTGAGTCCAGATCACATGAGTTTGATTGCTGACCATGCCACTTACTATATCTGCACCTTGGTCAGACTACTTCACTTATTTGGCCCTCAGTTTCTTCAGTTATATATTTAAAAAGGTAATAAAGATGTATTTATCTCATACGCTTGTTATGAAGGTTAAGCAAATTAATATACATAAAGCATACAGAGCTCTACATGGCCATTAACCTAAGAACAAAACAAACAAAACTCAGGTTTCCCCACTTAATTATGTTTCCTTCATTGCTAGTCTTTCTAGGTGAACTAATTTACTCTAATGGTTTTTTCTATCAACCACACACTGATGCACCAGGCCACCTCTCTCCAGCCTGCATCCCTCTCCTGAACAATAGATTCAAGCTGATTAATGGACATCTTCATTTACTTCAGAGTCAGTGATCCAAAGTGAACTCATCACCTTCCTCACCAGAGCCCATACTCTTTTATTTTCTTTCTCGCCAAAAGGTGTCCAAACGTACAAACTGGGATCCTGGGAGTGAGTTTTCATTCTCCCCGCTCCCAATATCCAGTTAGTCATGAAGTCCTATCAGTTACTGACATAGTATCTCTAGTACCTCTTGCCTTCCCTTCATTCCCTGGACCTCTCTTAAATTGGGACACTTATCATGCCACTCCTGGAGTACCGAGTCAGATTCTCATTAATCTGGCCTCTGATCTCATTCCTTCACAGAGCTAGGAAGGGATTTGACTTGATTGGGTTCCTCCCTTTCTTAAAGTGATTCATAGATTCCCAATACTCCTCAGGATAAAGTCTAAAGCCTTTAGCATGGCATGCTTCATCCTTCATAATCTATACCCTCCTAGGCCTTCATTTTTTGAAACTTCTTCCCTTGAAATATGCACCTCAACCAAATTGATGTACATGTGGAATCAATATGTTCTAATCCTACTGAGTTAACCTCAAGATGATTTTTATTGAGAGAATGTTTTCTCTACCCAACACCGTAAACCAAATTATTGCTTGTCTAAATGTTTATGTAGCACAATTGCTTTATATACAATTTAGCATTTTGAAATTTTATTGAAATATCATTAGAAAAATGTTTGTGTTAATTTTATACTTTAATTTTAGTTAAGCATCTTTCTATCATAATACTTGTATTAGAAATATGTTTGTGTTAATTTTATACTTTAATTTTATTAATTAAGCATCTTTCTATCATAATACTTGTATTTCTATCATAATCCATGCTCACACTGCTGATAAAGACACACCCCAGGCTGGGTAATTTATAAAGAAAAAGAGGTTTAATGAACTCATAGTTCCACGTGGCTGCGGAGGCCTCACAATCATGGTGGAAGGCAAAAGGCATGTCTTACATGGGGGCAGATGAGAGAAAATGAGAACCAAGTGAAAGGGCTTTCCCCATATCAAACCATCAGAACTCGTGTGACTTATTCATTACCGAGAGAAGAGTATAGGGGAAACCGCCGCCATGATTCAATTATCTCCGACTGGGTCCCTCCCAGAGCACATGGGAATTATGGGAAATACATTTCAAGATGAGATTTAGGTGGGGACACAGTCAAACCATATCAATACTAAATGCACTATTTCACGGTATTAACATTCTTAATTCATTTTCATTCCATTTTAAGATTTATATTGTACCTGTCACTTCTATCAAGCCTATTTCATTGTGGGTGAAATTTTGGAGATTAAAATTTTACCATATCTAGTTTTAGCCCTTATT